GAGAGAAAATATTCCCAAGCCCTGGGCAGTCCTCAGTGCAAACAGCAGCTTTCACTGGGGATGGGATAAATGGGAGACACTTCTGATTCCATCCGTTGGAGGAATCCATCCATCATCTGCACTGCAATGCTCCACAGGTACAAATTGTCAGCACACAGAAGACATTCAATTCATTGATCTCCGAGCCCAGGCACAAGGTTATAGACGTGTTCATTAACAGTGTCTGCATTGCTGTCCTTTGGCCCCTACATGCCATGCTAGGCAGCGGCATCTCCTTTGAACAACATTCCACCGGTATCAAGCCCAGCTTAAGCTCCCCTGAAACACAAAAGAGGACAGAAGAAAGTTCATCACCAGCAGCTACACACAGGTCTAGAGAGAACAGTCCTGCTCAGCACCAAGGCTTTTGATCTGTCCTCTAACGCAGGAACACACACGCAGGGGCTGGAGCTGCCCTTTCAGCTTCCTGCGCAGGTATCACCACTTCAGCCTGGGATCCTGCTAGGGCTCAGGAGCTATGGACCTGCACCAGCGCTTAAAAGCTGCCTGCTTTGCCTTTCTTCTCAGCAAATTACAGATGATTTAGTACGTTTTGCTGAGTTTTGACAGTGATGGAGAGTAAGGTTTCGAACTGGAGTGCTCTCCGTGAAGCCGGCGCTGAGCTCAGCACAGGGCTGCGCTCCAGCCAGAAACCCTGTTCTGATTGTCACCTCTTCCCTTGCAATTGTATTCAGATATTCTGTTCTTCTTTGCCTCTTCTCCTGCACAAGCAGGACATAAAGGCTTCTACAACCTGTTAAACTATTGCCATGCTGTCAACCGAGAGAGGCCACACTGCATTTGTGAATAACGTGATCCCAATGAACAAGTAATCCATGTTATGCACAGGACCACAAGCGCCAGCTGTTGCTTGATAAAGATGGTCTGTGATCGTAGTACTGAAGAGCAGGCACAGAAGACGAGTTATGAAGCCTGAGCCCCTGCAAACCAGAGCCCAGCGAGTTCCCCTGAGCCCCTGCCCTGGAGAGGGCAGCTCCACTGCTCTGCAGAGACCCACCAACAGCACCAGCTCCTGGGCCTCAGCACCTCAAAACCCATCACAAGGGTGCAAGAGGCTTCTACCCAGGACCTTTCAGTCTCAGCCTACTGCTCAAAGACAAAATGACGTGAGAAGGGAGGTGAGGTGGGCAGAGAAATCCTTTCCAGAAGCAGTTGATGCTCACCCTGGAAAGGGCTGACGGGCGAGTCCCCGGGCTGCCAGCAGAGCATCCCCTCGCGGCCGTGGGCACACGAATGCTCCCACCAAGGCTATTTATTGTCTCTGCCATAAAAGAGTTGCAATCAAGCTGGGACAGTAAATTCTAGTTTAAATTAAACAACTCCATTTACTCACAATGAAGGCTGTTCAGAACCGAAACCCTGTCTCGGACAAGTAGTGCTTCAGAGCACAGATTTGGCTTATAGCGTTTAAAGCAGCTGTCTTCATAAAAGCTAATAAAATACAGTTGGATAATTAAAAGCTTTAATTAAAAATGCAAAGTCCAAATAGTTTCATATTAACAAGGAAACTTGTTTTGACATCTGAAATTGCTGCACAAGCTAAATTCCCATGTATTCTCTCCAGGCTATTTAGAGTTTGCTGCGTAGCTGGAAATGTCTCCTAACTCAATCCAATCACCATGTGTTGCTGGGGATGTGCACCAAAAATTGATGCTGCTTGTTTTACAACTTCACTTTTAATTATCACAGTCTGAGGCAGCAGTGGGCTTATTTGCATGCCAATCCCTGAAGGCAGCCTGGGGATGGAGCAGCTTGGCACTCCGGGGATAAAATATGTAACTCCCGGGCATGGGCTGCCAAGGTAAAATGAGAGCTGAGTGGAGAAGCAGAGCCAGGTTTGGGTGGAGGTTTCTCCAGCCCTGTCCTTAGCTGTGGCACTGGGGCATGGGGCTACACAGTGCCACCACCGTGATCCCTGCCTGCAGCCGGCAGCACCCACTACACGGGTGCTGGAAAGTGGAATTTGCTGGGGCTATGCTGGGGATGAAGGGGGAGCAGGACTGAGCCCAGACAGAGAAGATGTTTTTGCAGCTCAGCATGGGAATTGGGTCCATGGCTGGTCCCACATCTGCAACAGCTCAAGATGAGCAAGTTTTGTAGCTGTTTCTCCTTTCTTTCCATGCCAGGGTGAACTGGAAGCACATCTCTCCTACATGAAATCTTATTTCTGGCAGGACAAGTGCAGGCATGGACACAGCCAGGGACGTTCCAGGTGTGCGTGCAGTGTGCTGCCAGGAAACAGGAAAGTTCAGCCTGCAAAGAGAGGAGAAGCGATGCAGCACCCTGTCCCTGGGATTGCTGGAGGCTCACTGAAGCCCCAGTGCCTCTCATATCCTCATTTCAAAGCCCCCTGAGGCCACGCAGCCAGTGGGAAGCCTCTGCTTCAGCCACACTGTCCCCTTTGGACCCTCTACAGCATCAGATCCTCCTCTGCCAGAGCTGATGCACGGGTGCGATTTACAGCCCCTTTGCTCTAGTTAGTGTCTTGGAACAAAATACTCTTGTAACGAGTACCGGTGAAACGGCAGTTAATCCATCAGTGCACCCTTAGGATTACAGATCCATAAGGCTTAAAACCAACAGGGACTGATTTAATTGGGTAATTTGATGTTTCTCATACACAGACTAAAGAGTCTCTCTAAGCACCAGCACACACCCATCACCAGAGCAACTTTTCTTTTAGCTACGCGACCACTCGTGCACTGGCCTTTGGCAGTGGAGAAGCCACCCTGGACCTGCTAAGGGGACCTGGTTGTTACTGCCCTCGCAGTGGAAATGGGCATCTCCTGTCCAGATGCCGCCATCCAGCTTCATCTCCGATTCACTGGGTCTTGTTGGAGCATTTTATGAAATGCTAACTCTTGAATTACTGAGTCATAAGAAAGCGGATTTCTTTTTCCATTTCACATATTTTTATAGGTTAAATAAGAATAAACTTAAAACATTTGGATTTCAACAGCCAATGGCTTTGGTTTGGCCTTGTTCAGTGTTTTATTTGTCTTTTTCTCCCCAGGAAAAGTTTCAAAAATTGAAATCTGGTTTCTAGCCAACCCTTTGGTGAGCAGCAGCAGAACCGTGCGCAGATTCCCGTGCCTTGGTGCCTTTTCTTTTCCCCTACCCTGCCTTCCACTTCTGGTTTGTTTTTTTTTTGTACAGAGCACACAATAAACATTTATCCATCACAGCCCCAAGGCTGGAAGTACATGGGATGAAGGCAGTAACTTGGTATTAACGCTGGGCTTGGCCCGGTGCTGACCAGGCACCCCGGGACCTTGATGCGTTTCTCTGCTAGGTGACCACTGGCAAATGGTTTCTCCAAGCCCTGCCTCAGTTTCTCCACCTGTGAAATGGAGCAATGATGGACTCACCTCCTAAGCAAAGGGCTTTGGAAAAGCTTCTTTCTCTTTTTCTTCTGGCTCTGCTGACTTCTGGAGGGTGGAAATTTAGAGTTTCTCAGCAGTCCATGCAGCTCCACCAGTCTGCTGCCTGCAGCT